CCTCCAGAAATCAGTGCTCTAAATGTGGTATCTGAGCAAACATAAGCTCCTGACCTCAAATCTATATTCTTCTCTGAGGTTCATCCGCCAGGATAAGGAATGCTGTGTAGCGGTTAAATACAAAACAAACCTGAAACTGGTACGTTCTGAGGTTTGGTTCTGACCAGCCTTTGAAACAGGATTGCCTTTAGTCAATTGGTTATTTCAGCACTTGACATCACCCCCACATAAAAGAAGGCAAATAGCCAATTAGCTAACTGGAAGTTTTCCAGTTCAAAATAGTGCCAAGATGAACGAAGATGAAGTGGGATAGAAAAAAAAAAAAGTTTAAATTGGCTGAACAGGCAGCTCTCTATGGGAAGCTGAAAATAGAAATCGGTTCATGAAACTCAGGAGCTTCACTATCTTCTATTTGGGGAAGATCAAACTTCGGCATTTGCAAGTTAAACAGGGATCCCCAAGGCTTCTAGAGAGTACTTTATAAAAAGAGGTTTTATATAAGACCTGTGTATTTTGCAAATAAAACTGCAGCACATTAAATTCTAATCACATTCTATTCATAGCATCTGAAATCAGAGTATAAATTTGCTTCCTACGGATAATTATCTGGACTGCAGTTTTAATCTCATATGTATGCTATTACCCCTATGCAAACATGGATAAACTTTGGCTTTTTCTTTTCAGCAGCATTCAGCTATTTTGACATTTTAAGTGGTTATGAGTTGGTTTTCAACAAAGACAGCCTAAAGAAATCAGATTATATGCTAAGCAGTAGGACTTGAGCTGAGAAAGAAAATACAACATTGTAGAATAACCCCTTTGCTTGGAAAATAATGCTTAAATTCCAGAAGGAAAAGTAGTTAATCACATCAGCTTTGTAAATACAACTTCTATAAAAGTCAATGCCACTTTAAACACATCTATCAGACCCTTCATACAAACTCTTAAGCCACATCTGAAATGAATGCAAGTATTTTAAATAAGAAAAATTCTCCTGCAGAAAATTTCCCATTATTATAAAACTGTTAATTGTATTAAGGAACAGCAATCTAGTCTTCTGTCAATGACAAAACATAAGCAGGACAGTACAGCTATAGTTTGATATATCAAAATTTACTTCGAAAGGGTTGAAGACAAGGAGTTATGGGGTATTTTGTTTTGCTTTCACTTTGTTAGAGCTGCTTGGCTAGCTCAGATCAGTGATCCGAGCGCTGCACAGGTACACAGCGACTTGTTCTTACATCTTTAGCCTCAGACCAACACAGAAAACAGGGACACCTTCTACACAACACTGCTACAGCTTGTACGAAAAGGTCAGAATCGTAATGAAACAAGGATTACAAACCTCTTTTCATGAAAAAGCAACCATATTCCTACTGTAAAATAAATATAAAAAGGAAAAATACAGTTGCAACTTATTTAAATTGCCATAATCATCAAAAAGCAAAAAGAACAGTCAGCTTTACATACTACTACAATATTACTACAATATTTTTCATTATGAAATTACTACTGGATTTTGGCTATCAGGTGCACTTGCCACCCAACAAGCAAATTAGCTCTGCATTTAAAAGATGCCGTCTTGTCCAAAAGCCCTTTAGTTCCAGTGAAATCCAAGCAGTGCTTTATGGAACAGGTTTTTTTTGCTAAATAGATGCCTTATGATGCAGATAGAGAGAAGAGACAACTTTCAAATTCCTCATTTAATCTAATTTTTCTAGTGACCCTGTATGTATTCTGTGAAACTTGTTTTCTTGTGGATTTGGTGTTTTGTGTTGTTTTTTTTTTTAAAAAAGTTACTCTGGTTAAAAAGAAGCCTCATGTGCTTTCCCAACCTTCATGAAATGTCAAAAGAATGATGTATTCACAGCAGAGATCATGAACTTATCGCAGGTTCTGGCACTCAGAACAGATGGTCATAAGGGAAAATACCTTCACACTGCTGTTTGTGAAAGAGACTCAATTTGACCGCACCAAATTTTAGAACCACAGAAGATAAAAAGTTGGGTTAGCCTTATAGCACTTCAAATATGTGTTTTAAAAGCACTGGTAATAACATATAGCCAGACATAATGTACCTGTTGGTATTCACTACATCACACAACACTGATCTTAGTGAGGAGCTGAAGTTCGAAACAATTTTTAGCTGCGGAGCCGGTACTGAAATGATTAGTTACAACAGCTCTGAGTAGGCAGATCACTTCACCAGTGTGGATCTGTGTAAGATCAGGGCCTGAACACATTTCTTACCTTCATCTAGCCTCAGCTTCAGGAAAAAACATGCTTCCCCCTGCCGCCCCAGCTTGCTCCCCATGTCAATGGATATTAAGCACATGTCGTCTCGCTTTTGGAAAAGCATTGCATTACTTCATTACTGTTTGTTGAATTGCTTTCAACCAGTTCTCACCTTGCAAAAAACTTCTAAGTGCATTAATATGGCACACGCTTAAACTCCATCATGTGTGAATTGTGTGGATCAGCAGCGGGACGTTATTTACGGAAGGAGACAGGGCACAGGCTGACTAAATCTGTTTCTACCCTTCCTGTCTCCAGCAAGCCCTTGCCTTCCCTCCAGAAGTGTCTACCTTTCTCTCTCCACATTGCTTAATCCTCCAGAATTCTCTCTGACCTTTCTGCTCAACCTGATGGAACGTGGGCCATAGCGATGGCAAAGGCATCCCTGAATCTTCACCCACAGCTGTGGCAGCACTTCAAAGGCAGCCACTACCACTAAGGATTTAGACTGCAGCTGGAATCCCAGGCCTTGAGGTGGGGTCCCCAGGGCTGAGCAAAAAGAGCAAAGCTCATTTGTAAGGATTAAAACGTGGACAGGTAATGGATCTAAATGGGGCAGGAAGGGTAGCGAAAGGCAGAGAGAGTGGAAGTCAGTATACAATACAGAAAATCTGAGGAGGTTAAGAGGGGCAGCAAAAGGACGGGCTGGGGGCACAGAAGACAAGAGATTCCTGGCTAGCGTAAATAATAGGCATATATGTTAGGAAGGAAGAATGAGAGCAGCTTGGAAATGTAAACAAAAATATCTTCAGAGGAGGTAAGGCTTTAACACAGAAAATAGAGAAAAGATCAATGGGAATAAAGGACAAAAGGATGTACAAGTCAGACAGCTAGAAAAACAGGCACTGAGAATAAAAGATGGTGATGAGACAGACGTAAAATCCATTTGTAAAACAGCTTGGACATTTATCACAACCTTCATGCTGCAGTATGTAAAAATGTAAAAGCTAAAGTTTTTTATTATTCAGGCTAATAATGTGCTTTGCACATCGAAAAGCATTTTCGTTTGAAAAGACTGCAGTAGTTTTTAAGAGAAAAGCACTGTTTGGCTTTTAAGATCATGCTGCTTGGGAAGCAGGACTATGAATCTGATTCACACACACGAGGAAAAGGTGCCCCCAGCCATTACCTGAGCCAGGCTGTGCTTCGCTCCTCAGAGAGCAGGCAATTCTCATGAATATTTCAACATACCAGTATTGTTCAGAATAGAAACACACCAAGAAATCTAAGGGTTCAAAAAAACTTACCACATGCTTTGGAGGGCATAAACTTGGAAACTTAGCAGCTCCTTCAGAAAAACTGAAGTTCTCATCCTGTGGTAGCAGAAGACCGTTCATCTTTCATTTGCATTTAACTATAAGGCAAAGCCATGCAGCAGGACACAAACTCCATGGGACAGAAGCAAGAACACACGACTGTTAAAACAAATAATTTACTGCAAATTCACATCTACCTTAGTGTAGAATAATTTCTCAATACCTCAGAGCTCGCTTCTTAGAATTTCCCACATTTGAATGGTAAAATACGACACCATCACTATCATGTAGCTACAAGCTGCATGTTGACTGGTTTAAAAAAGAACTCAGCTTTTCAATGAACTTGAAATACAACAAAATAGTAACAGATAGCAGATCTTTCCCATCTGCAATCTTTTTTAAACATGATTAAAATAGTTTTACTATTTTATTAAACTACTAATGCTTTAATAGTTCCAACTATATAATTTTCTAAATCTCCAAATGTTTTGTTGTAGTCTATAAGAAAAACACATTCTAGAGTTAAAACAGGAACAGATTTCAGTTTAGAATCAAACTGGCTGTTGTTTTTAACTCTACTCAGATCTGCCAGCAGAGAACTGCACACCTAGAAGAGACCGACAGAAAACGAACAGAGAAGAAACGTGATGATCACAGAGCAGACAAGCTTTTTATTGGTTGTTCGCTCTGAACTAGAAAGAAGAGTACCAGGCCAAAAGCCATTCAGTTAGTTATTAAAAATGACTGATCCTAACTGATCTATCAACAGTTTCTAATGCCTGCTGAATATATCACTCAACATTTACAGCTCAAACTGTTGACAGAGGTTCATCCATATTTATGAAGACATATGAATATATCTACTACTGCAAGAAGTAATGCTGATGTGGTAATAAAAATACACAAAGACACTAGCATTTTTCAGAGCATCCACAGACATAACTTGAGATTTATGAAAAGTAACTATTTTTATATTATGCTTTATTTCAAGCACTGTTTCTTACTGGATACAACGTATGCATTTTGCACTATGTATACATATTAATGTAATACATTCCAAGTTATCCCGAGATAAAATATATTATATGATTAAAATTATTCCAGCAATAGCTTTTCCAAGTTACATTTTGCTGAGTGCTATTTCAGATCACAGGAGAAGAAAAAATAAAAGAGAAAAAATTTTTAAAAATGCTTTGGCAAAATACCCTTTCATGGTGACATCTCTAAAAGTATTTTGAATGCAGGACTTCATCCACTTTTATTCCAGTATCAGTCAAATAGATAGGAGAAAACATATAAACATAGCTATATTGTTTTATTTAAATATAATTTAAAAGAATATAGATTTTAATTTTTCAAAGTGTGTGGTCTCATATTTGAATTTCAGCCAGTCAGAAAACTGCTTGCTTCTTCTCAGTGTACAATGGTGCCACAGGTTTTTGAACTCTCTAACTGCATTGTTGTAACGGTCGCTGTTAAAATAAAGTTCCTGGTAGTCCCAGAGCCTCTGTTAAGGTAGGAGGATGGCCAAAGGTAGCAGAACAGAGAAGAATAGAATGGTCATTGAACTGCACACATGGAGCTTCTAGGAGGATTCATAGTTCTTGTCATAGGCTCCTGACTGTAGTTGACAATATCTGCCTTCACCACCCTCTGTCATAAAAAAAAAATCCAACACAGTAACAATTAGAAGATATAGTCTTCATGCCGATAAAGCATTCAACAGGTATTTTACTATGAAATATGATGGAAAAATAATTAGGCAAAAGAGACACCATGTAGGAACTTTTTCATTACCTTACAGAAAGTCTCATCAGGTGCTAAATCTCATTATAAATACCAATTTATCGATACAAAGTGGAAGGATGTGCCTTGCTAGGTTTTCACAGCGTACAAATGGAACATGACTTGTGCAAAAGCAATGAATACAGTTTTACTTCCATGAAAATAGTTTTATATGGAAATAATAAAACAGTGATTTTTTTTTGGAAGACTATGATATGCATTCTTTAAGAATAACTGCCCAAATTGTAAGTAGAAATTGCATGTAAGTTTCTCTTTCCATCTTTACTCCAGGCATTTCACAGGAAAACAGGGACAGAATTCAAAGCAAATTTCAAATACAACCGTATCTCAAAAAAACTTGGATAGGCAGATATATTAAAGACTAAATTAACATAAAAGAACCATTACATACCACAAACATTTATTTTCTGAAACAGATCCAACAGGTACTACCCATTCTATTTGCAAACTATTTGACAAGACTGTTGGTCTCTCCTATATGAGAAGGAAATGAGATTCCAATTTTGTGACCATTTCTATCTGAGGCAGCTATGTAAACATTTTGAACATGCAGCACTGAAAGGCCTTCCTAATACAGTAACATGAAGTATTTCAAACTTTCTATGAACTAACTGGTTACTTTAGAAACACCATGTAAGTGTACACAGAGCTTCAAATTAACATGTTAAGTATTACAAGTGATTACAGATACAAGATATATTTCTTCAATATAACTTACTGTAACAGTTGTTACAACGCAGCTTGAAAAAATTTTAAAAAAATAAGTTTTTCATCAATACCTGAACTACTGCATTGAGCAGACTTTGCTCTGGCAGTTGGAAGTCTTGTGATGCTGGTGATCTTCTTCAGGATATTTCACTAGTTCTGCCCTGACAACGTGCTGTTAATCATGTACCAACACAATGGACAGAAGGCAAGGAGAAGAATGTAAAAAGAAAAGAGAAGGAAAAAAAGTGGAGAGATTGATCAGTAGCTGAAAAGAATGAATGACAAAAAAAGACTATGCAAAAGCAAAACAAAAGTGCATTTCATTTCATGCCTTATGCTGATACAAGAGCAACATGTCCAGCTGAAAGCACCACTACCAACATCAGGGCTACTTGCCAGGCTTCTTCCAGGCCATGCCCTTTCAAAGCGCTGCAGTGAAATACTCATGCAACCAACAGAAGTGTATTAAAACAAGAGAAGGGACAGAAGAAAAAAAAAGCAATTCAGTGGAAGAAAAGATGACAATGGCCTATTCCTTTAAGTCTAAGGTAGTTAAATATTACATTAATCAGCTTCCTATCAACAATTGTAACGAGTGCATTAGATGTACACATGCATCTTTTCCATTACGTAACTAACGCATTATATCTAAATACATAAACCAAAACAGTGACATAAACTAACAACCTCACATCTAGGTTCTAAAAGCTTCAATTTTTCTTAAATATAAAAATAAAAGGCTCTCACTTTTCCCCTTACAGACAAACAAAACTGTTGAAAAGTTTTCTCACTATTAACATAGTCATCATGCAAAAGGGAGCAAAATTCACAGAACAGTTTAAGCCAAGAAATAACAGTAGGCAGGTTTGCTATGAAAGACACCCTAACACAGTTTAGTAAATTTTTCTTAAATAGTCCAACTTTCACACAACATATTTTCAAGGTTAAAATGAACGGATAAATATAAACAACATGTAAACTGGATTACATGCATATATAAACAGCATACGTTAAAGATTAGGTGTGTAAAGAAAACCTGTCGAATAAGCAACAATAATTGAATTGAATGGTAAAGGATCTGAATTTATTAGCTGCTGATGTACTCTTCTTGAGTTTAATTGATCACATTCATATTATCTTATCTAGTGGACAACACTCATGATTTACTGGACTCCTGGCCTGATGTTATCAAGGGAAAGGTTGCTAAATCCCATGTAAGGCACTAGTAGGAGTTTCAGCATTAAACAGTGTTATCTGACCTCACAAGACCTAGTTTCTTCATACCAATCTTTTGACTAGAGCTGAGATAAAAAAAAAAGAGGGGGAAAAAAAAAGGAGTCTTGCAATCAGTAGGCAATTAATTGTACCTCAAAACATTGCTCTAAATCCCATCCTGTAAACACAGGCTGGTTAGTGACCCATGCTTAGGCATGTTGTAGCTAGAAACTGACTATCATAAATGACTTGGATTTTCTAAAGGAATTTCCTCTAAATAAGAGTTAAAAAATACCATTGCAACATTTCTTTTATGAAGTTCATGGTAATTAAAAATGTAGGCTTCTTTGTATCAGTTTCTATGTCAGGGATATCATTGCCATGGTTCAAACCACTGTCAACACTGAGAAATAACCTTTCTTGGCACAGGTGCTCTGAATTCCAGATCTGACTGATCTGCCAAATATTTTATTGTGCAAAGCTGGCACACGCAATCTAGTTTGCTGAATTGGCATTTAGAGAGAAAACTACACATCACTTACAAAAATGCTAGTTCTTGCCAATGCCAAGGAACAAAGCTGCAACCCACGCAGTTTTTACACTATGGTTGAAAGTAAAAAATACAGAAAGAAAAACATTTGATTAGTAAAGGAGCTATTTCCTCAAATTTCATCGGACCCTTGCGATTTAATAGGGAGAGTACTTTGAGGACTGAAAATAAGCCCGAATCTGCAATTTTCTTACTTTGGAACTGTTCCACTTTAAAAACATGCTCTACTTTCCAGTCACGCATAAAGAGTAATCTACCTCTTTGTTTCACCACAGTTCTGTCCAAATAAAGATCTGATTAACAGTCATCTCAGCATGTTAACAGACAAGGTTTAGTAGCTCTAGCTGAGACAGTTAAAAACTTACCACCCCCAAATGTCTGTCCTATTCCTCTGCTGGAGATCACTGCTGCCAAAGAAGAGCTGGTGGAATGTAACGTGTACTTGCACCTCATCCGCTTCAGCACAAAGTCTGGCAGCTTCACTTAAAAACAACTTTCAGCAGCAGTTTAAGTTAAGCTGCTCAACTTCACCCTGATGTGGCCAAGGCACACGATCACCTTCCATTTTTCTGATTCTGCTGTGGGAGTGATAAATTCCAGCAAAAGGGCAGTAACAAACAGCTTGGGTTGCAGTAACATCTTACACTGCTGCAGCAGCTTTCTAAAACAACATATGATAAATAATTCAGTCTCTAAGGCTCATTCTTGCCGTTAATTAAAAGAAGTTGTGCTGTTAATTTGAAGGAGACTAAGAACTCCATCCACTTTTCACAAGACCTTCTGCAGTTCTGTCAGTCATCAAAGATCAAAAGTCATATGTCAAGCCCCACAAATTCATACAAGTTAAAATTATGTGTTTAGGATTTCTATTACTTATTTCTAACCATCTGTGAGTCACTTCTAAGACTGTCCTAGTGACTGTGACAATTATAACTGATTTTAAGCACAAGAAATATGACCTTCAGGCATAAAATCAAAAGTGCTAGAAATAATTTTTACAGCATATTCTCAATATTAGACAATTGGTAATAATGGAGAAATACACAATAAAACATAATTCACATATAGGATATCACTGTTGGCATTTGATACAAACTCAGTATTTCAACCAACACTTTGTCACAACCTAGACTGTATGAAAGCAACTGACGTCACACAGTAGCCTGCTCATTTTTCAAAATGAGAAAATTGCACATTACACAAAATACGGAAAATTCAAAGATATAATCCAGCATTTAAACAATGCACATTTGTAAAAACTAAAATGAATTTTACTCTTTGTTTAAAGATTAAGTCCAAGTCAACACTTGCATTCTTACTGATTTAAGGATAAATCACACTCACTATTGTATTGGCTTTACGTGCTTTTTAATAGCATGCATCTATCTATCCATCTATTGATCTGTCTGTCTATCTACTTTTATAGCCAAATAGCTAGAGTATCAAATGCTTGAAAATTTTAAGGAACACATTTACATAACTGTTTCACAATTTAAGGAAGCCCTGTGCCCATTTCAACCAAAATCACCACCACACTAAGGGACCTGTACCTGTCATAAAAAAAAAGTCTGTGGTAAACCAAACCTGGTAGTGGCAACATCATCTAACACCACCACCTTCTAGCCAAGGGCCCAGGTCCGTGCTTTTGGGAAACAGCATCAACATATTACTTTAGTTAGGCTTTTCCACTGCAGACTAATACATTTCTCTCAAGAAATATCCTTCTATTCATCTCCCTGAGGATATGAACGTTAAAGCTTTCCTTCTCTAGTTTTATGCAGAGACTTTCTCTTTTCTGTCTTAAGAAGTGACCAAGGTATTTGGTTCCATAAAACAATGAAGCTTAAGATACAGCTAACAGACAGACACTGATACAATTCCCATCGGTTTACAACTGATTTAAATTGGGGCAATTCCTACAGCCGACTCAAAAGAGCACTCTCAAAGGAAGCAAACATTTCACTGGTAACAAAGAACTATTGCTTGCTTGGAGTAGATCAAAACTAAGCTCAATTAGCAGAACCTTGCAAAGCCGGGCAGTTGCTTTTCAGCTCTCACTCTTCAGCCACAGGCACAGCGTAGCCCCAGGAGCTGACTCCGGCTGTACGCCAATGGCGACAAAAAAGTTTCTTTTCTGTCCAACTCTATTTACTGGCTTTGTTTCATTATATCTTCTTCCGTTGTTGCTTTTTGTTGCTGTTCTTGGTTTTTCAGGGTGTTTTTTACCTCTTTTTTTTTAATCACGATAGCTGGGATTCACACTAGCAGTAGTGTGTGGGCCACAGTGAGTATTTAATTTATGCATATTAACGACTTATAGGAAATTGCTACTGCAATTCGTGTAGTATCGATTTTGTCTGACTAATTAAAAACTGTACTTACAATACTAAGGTAGGAGGAAGCCTCCTTAAAGCTGATACCAATTTGACATACAAAGTTATGTACTCTTAAGTCAAGGCTATATAGAAATTATTCCTTTAAAAACAACCTAAAAATAGACACCTTCTTTGGAAAGCTACAATTTCCTGTAAACTCCCTTTTACACTATTTTCTTTTTAAGGTGTGTGCATATCTACCTACAAGCTTACATCGGAGTTACTGGAACACCACACAGCACAGAGACGTCTAGTGTTAGCTAAACAATTAAAGAAAAATTAAGTAACTCTATGTGCTGGATTATGAAAATAATCGTAGAGCTCAGAATATGAGATGGATGGAGCTTTCATAGTAAAAGATCACTGAAAAACACATTCAATATTTCTATACCTAAAAATTACAGCTCCTTAGCTTTGCTTGTCAGATATGCGCTATATTTTACCATTTTACTGTTTGCAATACAGTTTTCCAGTCAACCATTTCAATACAGATTGTAAACACTGCTGTGGCAAAATAATTTTAGAAATTTCATATTTATTGTATATTTCAAAAACTAGGAGACCAAGCTGTAGGTAAGAAAAGTTTTGACCTTTTTTTTTTTAAAAAAAAAAAAAAACAAAACAACGAACTTGACTCATTTTGTGATACTTGTTTAGGTAGTCACTAGCAGTTCCAGGATATTATACCAGGATATAATACTACAACAGCCACCTTTTGGGTCAATAAGCAGATTTAAAATAAGTGTATTGTAATCTCAAACTTCATTATATAGTTTGTTTTAGAAGTTTCTGAAACCAGGTTTGTATAAAATCTTCTCAGTTTAAACCCGTGACGCAGTAGAAGGAAAAATATTTTTAGAAGCAGGAACTAGGAAGAAGGAGGTGGTAAGGGAAAAGGGGTTATGTTAGAAAACCTCTTCCTTACTTGCTTAACTGAACAACTAACAAATTTTTGATCTCCTGACTTTGACTGATAAAAACTGAGTGATCTCCAAACATGGTACCATCTCTCCCATTTTAATTAATAAAGTGACAGTTCAAATTTTTACAAATAAGCAAACACACCTTTTCCGAAGTAATTGGTAAGGTCCTAAATCAACGCTCTCATTAGAGCCATTTTGCCTACAGTAAATACTGAACAGCCCGAAACAACAAAGTTCTGCTGCAGTTCAGAGCGGGACATGCAGCAGCAGGGTTTTGCCACGTGTTCACTGTGAAGTCACTATATTCACATCCGTAACTCACTGCTAATCAATATTAGAGACAAGGGGACAAATTTCTTGACAACCTTCCCAGCTCTTGCTGGGAAACGTTCTCTCAGCCCTTTCTTACTGCTGAGGAAAACCCCAAGATAATGTTTGCAACGCAAAGAACCAAACACAAACTGCAAGGGTAGAAACTAGCAGCTTCTTTGAAGGGAGATTATTTGGGACTGGTACAGCAAGAAAAATAATTGCAGATGGCAGGGAGCCGTAATAGCTACCCAAACACAGGATTCCACAGGTCTGCCTGTTGTTGAGAATGGGTATACTGAATCAGAATCAGATTCATTTCTCATTTGCACATCACAAAAAAAATTGGGAAACAACGACCTCACAAACTCAATATACCTTCTCCAAGGCAGAGATCACTATTTAGATCATATATTATAAACAGGCACACAAGGAAGATTAAAATCAGAGATCAACCAAATGTAGGATTTGACATAGTTAATTTCGAGCTCTCTGATAAATATTTTCTTTTCCTGTACAACTACAATGAAGATTGATTTAAAACATTTTCATTCACAGAAGCCTATGCCTTCTATCACTTAAAATTTGTATCGTTTTAAAAATTAAATGTTTTTAAATATGTAAAGAACTAAAAAAGAACTGTCATAAAAACTGTATCTGACATCAGTGTACAGTATTTAATGTATAGAGAAGAGTATCTTCCATGTTACCTGTATATGCATACATACAGAGAAGTTTTCATTTTTGAAACAATTTCAAGTACTACTTTTAAACAAAGAGCTCTCAAACTAAAGGTTTTTCCCTATTTGTTTGATCATATATTTTCTTGTTTCAGCAAGTTTACCACAATGGATAAATAAAGATTTATTATACTTTAAAAATGCTGTTGTGAAAGTAAATAACTGTCTTCAGAACAACAAATGCATCTTGATTTAAAGGCAGTTACCATTTTGCAATGAGACCTTTTTTAAAAAACTAAATTAAATACTAAGAAAAAACATGTATTTGTGGAAAATCACCTGTGATTGTTCCAATTCTGCTTTGTTTAATTTGATGCCAAGTATGTCAGCAGCAATTCTCTGAAAACACAGGAAGACCTATGGAAAAAAATTAAAATTGCACTTAAATGATTAAAAACAGACATCCTTGAGGTTCTTTCAAATATATCAAACCATTCTTGAACTGTAAACAATGAGATATACAAAATTATGACCTGTGCAAAACATCTGAAAATAACCTCATCTGGTATATTCATTTTTGTTTAAAAATTGGGGAATATAACTCAACAATGGTACAAGGAATGAACAGTATGCTGGATTGTTAAGCAACACTTACACTCTGCCTCCCGAGACCTAAGTTTAAACAAGCTTTTAGCAACTCACCTCTCAAATACTACTCTCAGTGCTATAAAATATGAATAAGGGTATTCATTAATGTTTAGCACAAAAATATATTATTCCTGTGTTGTGCAAGATAGATAGAGGTTTCCGAAATTGAGAACAGAACTGTGCATCAACATCACCAAAATCTATATTGCACATATTTAAAAAACTTTAGCAATACAAAAGCCAAGCAATGATACATTTGTCCTGAAGAGCCCTACAATACATTATGGGGCTTACACTAAACAAAAGTAACCAGGAAAGAAGAAAGTTGTTACAGCAAGCAGGAGCCTGGCAGAGTTAGGCTTCAGATACGGTTTGACAAATAACATTGGGTGCCAACGCTATCTTAAATAACTCCTTTACTTCACTCTAGTGCACCAATCTTACTGTTCAGGCAGGAGCATTTTAAATGAGATTCAAGAACACAACACATGTTCAAGAGAGGCAGCTTAAGCTTGCGCTGCTGCTGAACACCATGTTGTCAAGCTACATATTATATATTTTCTATATTATCTATATCATTATTCAACTGAGCTCACAGTCTAAACTACTAACAAGCATTGCTTTCATCATGCAGCTGCCACCCCTAAAAGGTAATACCTACATGAATGATTTTAGTAATTTTCAATGAAAATTTAAAAAAAAAACCTTTACACATTCTCTTCTTATACTTGGATGGAAACCAGTAATAAATTAGTGGCACACCAACAGATCACAGTAGTTTCCAAAATAATTTCTCTTTCTCTGAACTACTTGGTCTAGCACTGGACTGTTCTACTGGATCCACACAGCAAGAAAGGAAATCCTGAACAAGCTCACCTTTTCCAAAGACCTACTTTAACTCCTACCAAGCTCTCAGGTGTACTGAGCTAGATCAGCTGCCATGAAGATGCTTTGTGCACAAAACAACAGGCATGAGTTCAGTCCTTCAGTTATGCAATTTATCGGATGACAGGACAGTTAGTTATACTAAATCTTTCATGATTTTTTTTTCCCCACTGAGGAGAATTTTGGTATTTCTATGTACATAAAATTACCTTTTACAAATGCGTCTGCTGGAAAGATCTGAGGTAAACAAAACAAGTCATTTACCTTAACTGAGCAAATTTAAGACTCCTCTAGACTATGTCCACAGTAACAATGGATGGCCTCTTCTTAAATCACTCTCTAGGGTAAACACTCTTGTCTATCCTGCAAAACTACCCAAATACATAAAGATACTGGAAGGTCATCATATGGTAACAGTGAAAGAGTTAATTCAAATCTATACTGAAACTAAAAATGAACTATTGCAAGCTATACCTCAGCCCTTCTCTTGTTATCAGATATTTTTTAAAAGACTTCTGGTTAGTGTTTTCTAGGTATGTTCAGATTTTTTGGTTTAAACAGTTAAGTTTTAAAAGTATGATTGGTATATATAGTAGGATGCTGCTGTAATTCATGAATCAATTAAAAAGATGTAATAAAGATTCCTTCGTAATTTGTAATGTGAAATACATCGACCTTATAAAAAGAACTATTACCAAATCCCACATAAATGTTGTCGACTTGAGAAAGGACTACGTTTTATCAGACACACACTTCATTGAGGGAAGTATTGTAAAATTTTACAACTGTTTCTATTATAAAAAGCTTTAAGTAAAAAAAAATACTAAAGATTTAACAGAAACTATTAAGAAGAATCAAGACTCACTGCATTTGTAACAGAAGCGTTGTTAGACTTTAAAGAAAAATTACTATCTTATAAAATTAGGCAGTTCATTAGAGAAGTTTCAACAAAGGTCTTAAAACAAGTGATTCCATCTGCGATACAGAATTATACCTCAATATAATTGAGCATGGTCTTACCATTCTATAACATGTCATGTCGTCCTAAGTAACATTAAGGAGACAGATAGAGGGATATTTTATGGGAATGCCAGAAGTTATTAGGCATGTGCCAAAAATCAAGCAAAAAAAATACAATGTGATTTGACTGATACAGTCAACTAGAAAAGAACCTTTTCTTCCATACACTTTCAACTAAAACAAATAACCCAGTTAGTTCAGAGTCAAAAGGCTCTGCAAAGCATTACAAATACCAGAATGTTCAAATTTCAATGGACCTGCAGAGGGAGTGTCTCTCATGGCTCATGACTCACATTAAAAACTTTGACTGCAACCAGGTCTTGTGACATGATCAACTGTCGAAAGTTTCTATACTGACAGTCTATGGATGGGACTCCACTTGGAATAAAGGAATACTTTTAACTGCAGTCTGACTGCAAACAGAGATCCAGCTGGTCTCCGTTCTCACGGTGATGTATAAGATCTATACCTCAAACTGCGAATCAGATGAGAAGCCACCATAATTAATAAAGAATATATACATATACAGTCACACAAAGATCTATTTCTCATGCAGCTAAGCAGGCAAAATAATCTGCAGCAGCCAAAGTTCTCAATGGTTTTATATGCGAAGTATAAAAAAGCTGCTGTATCTTAAATTAAAAAAAAAAAAAAGCTACAAGGGTTTTTTATTTTCCTTACTTACAGAATCTCCTGTCTTGGCTGACACGAAATGGCTACTGAAATTGTTTTCCTGACAAAATCGCTGGTGTTTGTCAACTTTCACTGTGCGCATATGCTCCAAGTCAACTAAAAATAAGTTGAAGAAAGGAGAAATTACTACAAGGGGCCCATATGGTAATCCATCTTAGAAATTATGCACTGGAAACACAACAAATGTAATTTTTTCCTTTACAGGTGTATGCAAATGCAAGTTCCTTTCTTTTTAAAATCACTTGCCAAAATAAAAATAACAAATTACATCAGATTAATTTTATTTGCAAAACTGAAATGAAATCACAATTAAAACTGTATGGTCAAATGCAACTAATTCTTACCTGAAATAAAGAGCAAATTAATTTCTGGATACACAAAATTTGTAACTACTGCTAACTAAATACAAAAACTTGAGACAGAACTAAAATTTGCACATTATATTTACAAGCATGATGCATATTGGACATTTCAGTGTAATGTAGAGACAACTACAAAATATAGAGTTCACTGAACAGATATGAATTTACATTTTATTTCTAAGAAAAAAATGTAAACAAGTTAAAGAACTTTATTGCAGAACATGGTAGAGCAAAAACGTTCACTATAACAAAAAAATGAACTGAGGAAAAAACCTGATCCTTAGTTACTGGTGTATTAAGCTTTCGATTTCACAAAGTTATGGTTCAGAAAATTAAAAAACTGTAAAATGCATATTTCAAGAGTCACACACATCTTCATTTTTATCATTTTACAACCACTGGAAGCAAAGGAAAGCTTTCAAATGGTATTTTATGCTGAAAAGCAGTGGTTGCTTCCAAAACAACATGGAACTCAAGTCTTGCACAGGTTTTATTGTGTACATTCCAGCTTCTCCAAATCTGATCCTAAGGTAACTGGAAACTATATTGAACAGTTTCTCTTTTTATTGCATTACAGTTCCTATAAGGGTGTTGACTCAATGCCGTCAAATTATAAGGCAAATATATTCAGAAGGATTTAAGGACAACCAGGCTCTTTCAGTCAATACAGGAAAAAAAACTTAAACTGATTTCCTGAGGAAGGGACCCAACTGACTTGTAAAAACTTGTAAATTTGCAAATCTAGTAAGCCTGTATAATAGTGTCATTTGATTATCAGTTGAAAAAATGCTCTCCTACTACATAAAAGGCTTTATTTTAAAATGATATTGGAGGTCTTTAATTTGTAGGCTCTAGAGATTTTCTCTTGGAGATTTTTAGTCTAACAGGGGATTCCTACACCCCATTTATACTGCTTACCTTGGTTAACGTGGAGGTTTTGCCACATATTACTGTTCCGTGTACATCAGTAAGGCCTTGTTTATAAGAACAGGCCTAAAATCATCCAGTTACCACAGGCATTAATTCGTGAAGGACTAAAACACTAAGCTATTAACACTCATGTTTGTTGTACAGTTTTTCAAAATGCTCAATCTAGAATATAGTCGCATAAAAAAAATAGGAAGAGCAAATACATTTACTAAGATAAGACCCAAAGTTGATAACAATTTTGCTAAAAACTCTTGCAGTCTGTGTAAAAGCTACTTAACTTTTTTCTCTGAAAAAATCTACCAGAAGAGAACCTCTGCTGAAACACTTTTAGGAATAAAATAGAGCATACTGCCTAAACTACATAATTATTAACTATTGTTTTACTCTTCACATACTAGCTTTAAGTGCAGCTTGGAAAACACAGCAGTGAAATTGCTCTTATGGGGGGGGGAACACAAGAAAATACATAGTTTCCTTATTTTAATTTGATGAACTCCTAAAGGAACCTTAATCTCACCTCCAAATTTCACTCACTGTATTTCTTCAGCTATACCCGAACTCCAAAAACCTACACACGATTACAATGAAAATGAATAAATAAACAGACGGATAGCATTTACACTGTATCCTTCTAAAATGCCATGACATGCTTATATAAATCCACAAAGACAAGCTCACAAGTTACAGTCTCTCCCAACAAGACAACAACAGGGAGCGGAAGAACATAACAGCATTATAAAAAATTTATGAGTTTTCAGGAAGAAAATGCCACTGCCACACTGGAAGTCATATCCTCAGATGCCTCCTATTTCTTTTCAGCGAAACATCAAGAATAATATATGGTCAGTGGAGTACATACTTTACTACAGCAAAGAAGTTAAAAGCACACCTAAAATTTAACAGACTGGAAGTAAAAAATCAAGGTGAAATGATATTTCTGAATTTTGTGTAATCCTCAGTCCCTCTCCTCACTTTGAAATATTTCACCTTATGCCTTCTGAATTATGGGCAGTCTGCTGTGAACTGTACAGCTACTGTTGTGCCAGATAACTGCCAGGTGACTGTCCGCGTGCACGCTCTCAGCCCGCAGTAAGTGCAGGGCAATTCATATTACATTAACTCTCAGTGAAAGAGGGCACAGTTTTAGTATAAGAAAAAGGTTTCGAGCATTAATAAATATTTACCTATACAAAAGCTGCAGTTGGCAGTCAATGAAAGATGACTACCAAACTCAGATTACTTTGCACTGCCACAGGCTAAGGGCACAGTCACAGATAGTTACTGAAGATCAGCTAAAATAAAGTGAATAGTCCTCCAGTTCTTTTTTTTTTTTTCCTACATCTGACGATGGTCAGCTCGACAGACAGAATTCTTCGCACACCAGGAGATAAGCCTTGTCCAGCTTTTATTTAGACACCACAGCAAAAAGACTTTAAGGAGGGATTTGGAGGAGAAAAATGATTTTCTAAAAAATGTTTATAAGGAATGCAGGGACTTTCTATAAAGAAAACTAACAGCTGGCCAATGTGGGCGCATATGATGAGCCAATTAACAGCAGTAATATATATCTTGGGATGGAAGGGATGATACTAGAATGCACTTAAGCCATGAAAAGTTTAAAGGCAAAGACAAATAAGTTTGGGATAGAAAGAAAGAGAATCAGATACATAAATATGGTTTGATTTTACAAACCAGAAAAATGATCTTAAAGAATATTCTAAATGACTAGATAACATTGCTTTGGCCAAGAAAAAGGAATCACTGAAATTAAGATGCAAAGTAAGAACAGTTTAACTTTGGTAATGGCTATGATGGGCCATATCTAACAAAGGTCTCAAAGAAAGAATCTGCAAGATTTGGACACACCTCAAACAAAAACACTTAGAGAAAGGACCAAAGTGAATTTTATACATGCCAGATAGTACAGTCATCCTCCTTAGCTGAAGCGAATGAGAAGGAAGATAGCAGGGGAAAATTACTAGCTTCGTTTTTACCAAGTAGATGGCTAGAAATTCACAACTGGATGTTTAAAGGCAACACAAGGATTTTAGAGATTTAGCTATTTGCAAACAGTGAATCTCTAAAGCATACAAATTCTGCAAACCAGTACTTTGGGTTGTTAGGCTTGGATACAAACTGCTATCTACTTTAATAACTTACATCTTCTTATCACGAAAAGATAAAGCAATCCCAAGATGCTTAAATTTTATGGAATGCAGTGAGAGTATCTCTTTGATCTATCATTTCTAAAATTCAACAGGTCTTAAAAACAAGACTAACAGGCAGTCAAAGTTAACAAAGCAATACTTTAAATGTTGAGGGAGTACACTGCTAATTCCTTGACTATGCAGGAACCAGTTGGCATATTTGCATTAAATGGAATACTTAAATTATCCATATGAAAATCCAAATCAGGAGCAGCAAATGGACATCACGAGCAACGGGTGATACAGAGATAAGTCATAGTCCTCTTTCCCTGATTAGGACAGAAAAAGAGGCTCATCATTCCCCAAAGTCATTTTGAAGTCCCTTTCTAAGAAAAGGCACCCAAAAATCGGCTGTTGCAATCTGCTCATTTATACATCTGAAATACACACAAGAAAGCTCATGCGACAACTTCATAAAAACCCCATAACTTTCACAAAAACCCCAAGTGAAATCTACCCTCAAAGATGAAACCAGCATAGATCAGTGTCTGCTGATAGCAAAAGTTGGTAAGGCTTACTAAAATACTTATCAGTTTTTAAGTGAGACTAAACAGAGATCTAGTGAGGTGAAAGAAGAAAAAAGAATGTAAGAGAGAATTATGGAACCCCCACAGAAATCCCAAGGATTCCTTAAGATGTGAGAAGAAAACCAGGTAAGAACAAAACTGCAGAACTTATGTAAGGACCACCATGGTCACCTCTGTGGGGAGCAAGTGACATGTCAAAGGACAAGGACAAAATAGTCATTTTCAGGTAGGACCAAAGAGATTTGTTGGGGCACATCTTCAGGTGATTTATATCAACAACTTTTTCATTATCCTCTGAATTGTTGCTGTACATCACTTATTTGCAATGAAAAATGCAAACTCAAAATGTAAAAGAAAATCGTATTTGAAATGACTACAAGGCTAGGTATCAAATGACAGAAAAATTCTGACCAAACACTTGAGACATTACAAATAGTTATTCAAAGTAAAATCTCTATATAACTTTATGGAGAAATTAAAAATGGGTACTTCACAAGCTCCTGACACACAATCAACCATTCAACAGCAATTCGGTCTTGATTAAATAATTCTGCCACTTTTGATGCAAGAGTCTGAAACCACTCGTGGTAAATAAATTAATACCAAATTTGTTTCTCTTATGCTATTTAGATGTATCTATCATTCCATACACCATATATATGTGGAAAACCAATAGTCAAGCAGCTCAAATATTACCTTAGCTCACCTGCTTCACTGAAATTAACTAAAACAAATAAAATTAGCTCACCAGTGTTTGCTTCAATGAATAAAGTGTGATAGCAAAACCTACAGCTGTATTGTCTTAAAATTTGGGCAATCATAAAATACATTTAATAATTTACCAGAGTAACACAACTGGTATAGACACAAAGTCAGTAAGTATTTTAAAATACATATCACCTGTTAGAAGAGTCATGAATGTTCTGGTTTTATAACCTTCAAAATGCCGAAAACATAATAAAACTCGGTTTTGATGTAAGTATTGCCACACAAGCAAATAACTGCACATACTCTAAAAAGATGACAAAACATCAATTATACAGAATGTAAAGGCTCCTACTCAAGCTATT